TTCGAAGTATAGAAATTGCGATTGAATTGTGCTTGAATTGTTAACATAGGTTGGGATTTTTCTTGCGCAAGCAATGCAGCAATAATATCTAGGTTCGAGCCTGGCGGCGAAGTGACATTTTTTATTGTTTTTTATTTTTTAATTATGAAGTGGCAATGTTGGTAGAATTGATGCAAGTGGGTTATAATCGTGGTGCCGTAATGTCGAATTTTATTTTTTTTTATACTCGATACACCTCGACTAGGGATCGAAGAATATTTTTCATTTTTGTTTTATATGCAATAAAAAATACATTTGATACGCAAACAGTAGGCTTGGACACATTATTTTTGGTCAACAATGTATAGCAAATAGTTATCAAAAGTAATGTAGCTGTCAAGCTTTAAGATTCCAACGCTGTGCGAATTTCGAAGTGGCACTTTCAAAGTGGGCTACATTTTTTAAAGCGTTGTAACGAACCTTAGGTTTATCCATATTCCAACCCCAGGTGAATTCAGACGACTACAAAGTGTAGTATTTATGTATTTAATTTTAACTTACAGGAATTGTTGCCTAAAAAACCATGTTCCCTGCATTAAGTGAATTCGCAAAAACAAAAATAAAACAAAAAGTTAGATTATTGAACCCACTTCTCCTTGACAACTCCCATTCTTTCTATCAACTCCGTCGCTTCACTGCTTGAATGGAAAGTTGGAAATCTAAACTAAAATAGATGACAATTCTAACACAATTCAATCGCAATTGTAATTCGTTGATTAGAAAATAACGCACGCACTTGAGTGGATATGTCCACATGTTGCTGGGCATGTGATTTTGAATATTTTCCAAACGTTTTGCTTCATAACTTCTGTGTTTACTAAGCTTTTAGTTATTTTTTTAGTATATTATTTATTTTCAGCGAAGTAAGACTACAGATATATTCTTATTTTGAAACTGAATTTCAATATAAGAATTCAGTAAAATTTTGAGCCCGCTTTCCAAATATAACAAATATTGTTTAAAATATACATGACGCTAAATAGAAAATTTGACAATTCTAGCTCAAAAGTTGTTCGAGTTATAATTTCATAGCTGAAATTCGATAAGGGTATTCATCAAAAATATTAAAATAGTTGTCGATTATTGGAAACAAACTTGATATGCACGTGCTATTTAAAGATCTACGATAAAAATTAGCTCTTATATGGAGAGAACTCGTCATGCTGGGCACGAATACATATTTTTTGTGTGGTCTGCTACGCATCCATCTGCTTGTTCACACATTTTAACAAAAACAAATGTGAGTACAATTGACTTTGGTGTTGTTCATTTATGTAATGATCTTTATTTGTTTGAGCTAGGGTTTTTATACCCCGACTCAAATATGATGTATGTTCATGCCTGAAAAATATATAAAAACTGATCATTCTGGAGTAAGATCCCTACTGATAAATTCATCAATAATCATAGATGATAGAAGTAAGAGACTTTAAACTTAATATTTGGTATTTATATACAAAAATACACCAATTATGAATATTTAAGCCAATTTGAAGCCCGATATTTGTTTTAAATGTACCTTTTATGTGCTGCATGATTTGTGATAATACCCAGTTAGGTTTGGGCATTTCTATCCTTATTTAAAATCTTCTCTATAGAAAACGTATGGAAATTTTATACCCTGATCCCATTGTTAGCAATGCAACTTATTTAAATTGGTAGTCAGAAATTGTATCAAGCAGGTGTCTATTTTTATACCCTGATCCCATTAAAAATGGGAAATCAGGGTATAATGGTTTTGTGCAAATGTATGTAACAGGCAGAAGGAGGCGTGGCAGACCCCATAAAGTATATATATTCTTGATCAGGACGACAAGCCGAGTCGATTGAGCCCTGTCCGTCTGTCTGTCCGTCCGTCTGTCCGTCTGTCCGTATGTGTGAACGCGTGGATCTCAGCATCTATAAGAGCTAGAGACTTGAAAAATTTTTTGTAGGTCCGTGTATAGCACGCGCAGGTCAAGTTTGTTTCAAATATTCGATAACTATTCGCATTTAATTGTTATCGAATAAAAACATTATTGAAATGCAGTAAATAAATTATATCTCAAAAGTCTTAAGAGCTAGAGCCTCCAAATTTTGTATTTAGTCTTATGTATATTTTATGCAATTTTGATTTTTGTTAGATTTTGGATACCGGCTCCAAATTCCCCCAAATTCGTAGAATTTAAGTTTAGTTGGAACTAGGGCCATTATGTCAAGGCGTTTGCATCTCAACCAAGCCAATAGAATATGTAGATCATATGCTGAAAATTTCATTAAAATCCATTAAGTAAAACAGAAGTTATTAAACAAAACGTTTGGCCAATTTGCAAAAGCACATGTCAGCAGCGCCACGCGCACGCATTTTTCCTATGCATGTGCACACATACATTCAAATGCGTGTATTCTTTTCTATTCCAAGAATTGAAATTGCGATTGAATTGTGCTGAATATTAGCTGCTACTTATGTTCAAATTTGCAACAGAAGGGCAGTGGCTGCGTTGGTAGAGGCGCCGCTCGCATGCAGGTTGGTCCGGGTTCGAGGCCAGTGGAGATGAAATGTTTTTTATTGTTTTATTTTTTTTTTAGTTATAAAGTGGCGGTGTTGGTAGAGTTTGTGCACGTTGCGTAAATAATCCGGGTTCGAATCCTGGTCTCGCAATGTCGATTTTTATTTGTTTTCTTTTTTTTTTTTAATACTCGATACAAACTACGGAAAATATTACAAATCTCAAAGGACTGGGATCAGGGTATCTCCTAGTCGGGCACCCCGACTAGAGCTTTCTTACTTGTTGTAAAGTATTATTTAAATAAAGTACAACCGCATAAAGTTAATTATCCTTAGAACTCTGAGGTCCATATTGATGAAATTATTTTTATCCTGATTTAACTCACATCAGATATCGAATGGAATGAATGGAGGTGATTCCCAGTTTACCAAGGGTGGTATTTTCTAGAATATTGAAAAAAATGTAAGAGTGCTCTTGTCAATACTGCTCAACTCTGAATTTAACAATGAGCTAATATTCCAATCATTTTTAACTTATGTTATTTGACGAGCAAAACTGTAACACATGTTCAATGTTCTCACTTCAACGGTCTGTATTATCTTTTCTACTTTATGCATGCTTAAGATCATAGTCTTGTTTTGTTAGTGAAATATTTGGCTCTCTTATCTACAAATTTGAAGACATTTGATAAGCGATAAATACAAAGAGTAAAAAAGTCACATATTACAGTTTTGCACTGCAAATATTTTTAAACAAATATTTTTATTAAATTTTTTATAATATAAAGTCCACAGCCCTTCTGATTTTTTGAGGTTGTTTATGCGGCTTGGCATACTTTGCGTGTAGCGTCGCACCATTTCAGGTGGAATCGAGTACCAAACGTCCTTCGTTCTCTCCACCGTCATGCCATTTAGAGGGGCCGCATATTTCGCAAGCTGCGATTTCACATGGCTCCATAAATTTTCATGTCTGGGGATTGCGGTGGCCACTTCATAGTTTGAAACTTTTTGTTCAATAACCAATTTTTCACCAAATGGGATGTGCTTTGTGTCATTGTCTTGCTGAAAAATGCATTTTTCAACAGCAAGACCCATGTTGCCAATGACTCCTCCCAAATTTTCTTGTAGAATTTTTAGGTATTGCTCCTTACGCATTATCCCATCGATTAACACTAAGGGCCCAACTCCATTTTTACAAATACAGCCCCAAACCATTATGTACCCGCCACTGTGCTTTACTTTGTGCCGCACTGTATTTGCCGATTGGACTGTGGGATCCATAGTCCAATACCACGATCGTTCGTCTGACTCAAAATTGTTCATTTTTAGTTTCGTCTGACCAAATAACCTTGAAAAAATGTTTAGCATTGTTTAAACTTTTTATTTGTAACTTACGGCTTCCCAATCAGGTAAAGTCTAATTCTCATTGTAGCAAAGTTTCTACGCAATCTAGCTAGCTAGAAATGGTATTTTTTTTTCTTTCTTTGGCCTTAAGGCCCAATCTGCCGAGGCTGCGACGGACTGTCCACTCAGTGGCATTTAAATTTAACACATTGCGATTGCTTGTATTTAAGTTAGCCAGGTGGCGCGTGTCACGTTCGCTTAAAACTCGCGGTCGGCCTCCTTTATTGATTTTAATGTTTTCTGAACTGTTTTTTTAAACACATTTTTCAATCCCTTCCCACAAACAATAAAAAAAGCTAAAAGCGCAAGCAATAAAAAAAGCTAAAATGTTGCATGAACACGCATATACATATCTGTATATATATATATTTTCCCATATTTTTGTTCCTCAAACCTAAAAGCAAGAGCAAATACGTAGTTGAGTGGGACCTAACGAATAGATTTTATGCGTTGAAAAAGTTTGTATTTGAGATATCTCATCTTTGTTTGCGAGTGGTAATACAGAAGTTGTTAAATAAAACGTGAGCATAAAACAGCTGGGAATCAACGCTAAAAGAATGAATATTTTCTATACATACACTGCGTGCATTCATTTTCGAATTATATCAAATTATATCTGACTTGCGATTGAACTCGCAGCTGGTAAGTCAGTTTTACACTTCTACTGGTTCTATAATTAAATTTGTAAAAAACATTATATTCTCATTATCGATAAATATCTGGCTAGAGTTATTTAAAAGGGCCCGGTGGACGTTTAATTATGTTCATTTCGTTAATCTGTAAAAATCATATATATAACATTGTGACAAAAATAAATTTGGCTGTAGTTCGAAATTACAATGCGTTTAGAGGTGTATTTAGAAGATGTCAAGTTTTTACTGGGATTTCACATAGATAACACTGTTTACCTACCACATGCATACTTCTACACACACATATTTTTATACACATATGAACATTAATCTCCACGAATACTCATACGCATGTATGTATAGTGTATGTACATATTTATACAAATATATACATATATTATTATTTTTTAACTTTGGAAAAGGTTATATTACGGCGCAAAGCAGAATTAGTTGAAACATTAGTGTTTAACCTAGCGGCATGACGTTCAAATTTTCTGCAAACTTAAACTTTCTTTTTACTGAAACTGCATCAACTATATCACATAGAATTAAGTTAGCGCATCAGCATGGCTTTCGAGCAGTGGAAATACCATATCCTGATGGAGAACTTCTTAATGTTTCACAAGTAATACAAGAAACTGGAATATTAGTTAGTCTAGTAAATATTTCACTTGGTAAGTCTCCACACAAGCATAATAAAATGCACATATGCATATGTTTGTATGCATGTACGTATGAAAAAAGTGTCTTCAACATACATATGCATGTACATAAGCATGTACATGTTTACTTACATACATTGATTGTTTTGAATTAGAGCTATAATTCCTAGAACTGGGTATTATTATATATGAAGTATTCTGCATGAGCAAATTTTCGTGTATTCAGTAAATATATATGTATGTATATGTCGGAGAGTAGGTAGTAGAAATGTATAGGCGCCTTGCAGGCGCGTGCTGGTAATATGTTTGAAGGTCACACTTCATATATGTATGTATGTATATTGGTGCGTCTTTTGCATGACTTTGTTTTGTTTTATAGACAATAAAGATCCAGATTCATCCAAAAATGTACTAACTATTAGGTAAGATATTTATTTCAACTTTAATTGCGTGTACATTCACATTCACATTTCCATCGACTTCTAAAATGCACAGATGTGTAGATATTTTGGGCGTTTTCAAGGTCTCAATGCGCGGATCATATAAGACAGGTCCACAATGTTTCGCCTGAAAAACTTGTTCATCATAGTCGTAGTAAACATTGTCATAAATTCAAATTTCAAGCAATCTACAATATCGGAAAATATTTCGCAGTTTTGCAATCCCGCGAATGGGTAAATAATTTTATAGAATGTGTAGAAGTGGATTTTAAATTGAATCCGTGATGTATTTTCTAAACTCTCAAACGTTAGTTAAATAAATTTCCTGTTTTTCATTACAAGTACAGATTCAAACAACTAATATATTAATGGGAAATATTTAATTTTTAGATACTTTTTCTGAAAAAATTTTATAAAATTAAATAATAGCTATTAATAAATATAAAATACTCAAGCAGAATTGACTCCATAATATACATATATTTTGTCAAGTATGAAACGAACCATGTGCGAGAATTTATCAATCAAATATAACAATTCGACATATTTATTCCAGACAAAACGAGGAATGAGCTAAAATATGGTTCTACAAGCATTCCGGGAGAGGAAAAACTTTTTCAGAAACAGCTTGACGAAACAATAGAATTTGCAAAAACGGTTAATTGCAAGAAGTAAGTTAAATAAATAATCCAATTATAAGATGTTATATTATAAGACATGTATGTATGTATATATTGATATAAATATATATGGTTATCTATTTTATCTAATGTTAAGCTTTAAAAACCTACATTAATGTTTTTAAAGCTTATAGCTTAATTATTATGTTGAAGGTACTTTTATTTATTGGATAAACAACTATTAAAAAAGTTAACAGATGATTTTCTTTTTATAGAGCATCTAAAGTTTTACTCCTAAGGTCAGTTCAAATATCCCGTACATTGGGACACACCCAATTGATCTTAGCTTTTTTTAATTGTAGAAAATAATTGTACTATTTGCGAAAGCAATTAATAATTAATAAAATAATAAAGAATAAAAATCAGAATATGTTTGGGACCTGTCCACTTCAATATTTAATTGTATTTCTTTTGTAATTTTCATTAAGTTACCTTTGCTGACCGAACCAGTAAATTCAGAATATCTCCTGCGTAGAAATGCTGCTACATGCACAACCAAATCCCATTGTTTCCAAGTATACAAAGACGACTAACCGTATCTAATTTCGTTCCAGAATTCATTTGATGGCAGGTGTGATGAATAAAAAATTAGAGTGCGAACATTATGAGACATATGTGTCTAATTTAAAAAAGGCTGCCGACATCTTACTGGCCAATAATATTATGGGCGTAATTGAACCGATAAATAAATATGCTGTTCCATCATACTTTATGGACTCTTTCGTCAAAGGTACAGCATTTATTTATATTGTATTCATTTAATATAAGCATTCATATTATTTAACCATTAATAAGGTAACATACAATCGATAAGAAATGAATATTCCAGAATATCAATTACTTGACTATAGTTTTGTGGCAATTTAAGCATTATTACTATGCTTGATGGAAGCTCCTTGAATTACTTTAAACTTTCCATTAAGTTCCATACGAATTCTTAATACACAACTCATTATTTGCACCGTGATAAATTGTGTTCAGAAAGACAAATACATTTACTAGGCCTTTTATACAATGAGTTGAGTCAGTCAACCTAGACTGAGTGTAATCAGGATTGTTAACCACTTGAATCCGAAGTTGCTCAATGTATGAACGGTATTTGAAAGACTCCATTCATTAGTAGCTTGCGACCTTTTGTGTTGAAAACCTTGTCTAAGTGAATGTAAAAGGAACAAATTTAATTAAAATTGTTAAAATTTACTCTTAATTATTAAATTGTGTACTTTAAATATTTATATTTACAGCTTCAACTGTACTGAAGGAACTTAAATCTAATAGTATAAAACTTTTAGTTGATGTATACCATCTGCAGCATATATGTGGAAACTTTACTAAGACCCTAGAAGAAAATAGGGATGTAATTGGTCATTTTCAAATTGCACAGGTACCCAACCGAAATGAGCCTGATAGCGCTGGCGAGCTCAACTATGATTATATTTTAAAAGAAATACATTCCGTTGGCTATGATGATTGGATTGGTTGTGAATACAAACCCAAAACAACAACAGTCGCCGGATTAAATTGGATTTCTAAATATGATTCAAAGTTTTAATTATTATCATATAAAAACTTACATTTAATTTTATAAATTTTGTACTGTCTACAAAACTGAGAAATGTTAAGTAATAAAGATTATTTTTTGAAAAATAAGCGGTGATTGGTTGGGCTTCGGCAGTGTGTGTCGTCTTGTTAAAACCACATGTTCTCTATGCCCAGTTCGCGTGCGCCGTCCACCGCATCAAAGAAAAATAGCCCAATTACTCCTACAGCTTGAACGCTTAAGAGTGTCTGAGGACACTTATTACATTAATAACTATAGCGAGTAAACTTAAAGCTTTTATATTGCTAAAATATTTTTTGGGAGTTTGTAATGAACACCAAATTACGTACCAAAGCTTCAAAAGCTTTCAACGGTTATTTTTATTTCTGTCCACTCAGAAAAGTTGACCATTCGCATGTTGTGTTTTGTTTTGCTTAAAAAACTAAGTATATGAAACTAATTGATCGCATTTTATTTTTTATTTGTGAAAGTTTTGTTTATTTACTAAAATAAAGTTACAGAACAGCAAACACATACAAGATGTACGTTTTAGCACCGAAATAGTGATAAGTGCTTTGGGACACCTTTGGGGCTTAACGCCAACTTTTGTTGCTAGCATCTATTTCACAGCTGCTTGCAATTTTTAAGTTGGTTGTTGCTTATTGTGTGATTTTGTTGACTAGAAATTAAAATAGTGAATGAAATGGCAGCGCGTATTCGTTTTAAATTATCCGAATTGTCTAATGAACAGTTGCTGGAACTTTTTGAGTCAGTCCCATCGGATGAGGAAGTCTCATGCCCATCAAGTGACGGCGAGGGCGGAGAAGAAGCTCTGACCACTGCATTAGCGTATGTAGACACTTTAGTACAGGAGTCTCCATCGCCAACTATTGAGGATTCAGCGTGTATTTCTTCGCCAACTGCTGGTGGTTTTAATGGGTTTGCTAAGCAAACGTACTTGACTTTTGGCAAAAAATTACTAAATAATGTATGTATATATAGGTGTTGCATCAATATCAAAAGAGCCGAGTAAGATTACGTGGTGACAGCAAAATAGGCAGTTACATGTCAACAACATAACCTTTCGAGGAAATTCTTTGCTTCCAGCTGAAATAAGTCAGCTCAAAAGACCATTGCAGATATTTTGCTATTTGATCAATTCTGAAATCATGAATATGATTGTCGAGGAAACAATGTGCTCAGCTTTAAACGATAATATTGGATCCCAGTTCAAAGTTAACATTAATGATATCTACCATTACATCGGCGGATATCTACCATTTATCGCTACCCAAATCTGAAAAGCAATTGGGGAAAAAATGCATTTGAGCATATACAAGCCAGCAAGACACGAGGAAAATTCAATGCAATTAGGCAGTACTGAGCCCTGCGTGATGAGAGCAAGCGGATCAAAAAGGGTTAACCAGATCACGATCCATCCGCACTCGAAATTTTCCGACTGCCTTTGCGTTGATAAACAAATGTGTAGCACAAAAATGAAGCATCACCTTCGTCAGTATATACCTAATAAGCCACACAAATGAGGAATCAAGTTATTTGTTTTATGTGATTCTTTTGGTTATTCATACCGCTTTGAGATGTTCAGCGGGGCAGGTGACAACGTGACCCTGGGCACGGGGTCCTGGATACCTCGATTTTGGTGCTGCCGCCAAGTTTCAAGCACCACATTGTTTACTTTCACAATTTTTATACTTCTCTGCCTTTGATGGTCTATTTGCGAGTAAAAGGTATTCATACCCTTGGAACAGTGCGGGTAAATCGTAATTGCAAGCTGCCTACCGATAGCACCATCAACAAAAAGCCAAGAGATTATTCGACAGAGTACGTTGGCACCTCATATGGGATCAAAGTTAGTAATGTGCTGTGGAAACCATTTGCAAAGGCAAATTCGCTTGAAGGAACACCTAAAGGTCCTCGGTATGATAGGAAATCCAAGCGACAGATCGGAGTTGATTGCCCACAAATTATTCGAAAATACAACGCTCATATGGGCGACGTAGATCTAATGGATGGTCTAAAACTCGTGATGCCACAACCTTGATTTTTTACCGATCGATATGGCAGCCATAAATTCATATCAAACTTGGTCAAAAATCTAAGCATCCAATATCAGACGTACGGTTTGACCAACTAAATCATATGCCAGAATAGTTGGATCGAAATAATGGAAAAAATTGTGTAAACACTGTAAAACTTCGCAAACAGTCAATATCATACAAAACAATAACATTTTAGTTAGATTATTGAAAATGATTTTTGTATACTGAAAGCCCCATAAGTACCATTCTCACCTCACAGGTAAAAGAAAACGGCTACAATATTTTTGATTCTATATTCTATAAAAAAAGGTTCTTAGTATTTTCTTCAATTATTGTAGAAAATAGTGTTAGAGGGTTAAGCAGTAGCGGGAGTATTGTTTCTTTGTAGGCAATTTACGGATTTTTAGTGCCCTAGAAAAAAATTTTTTTGTGTGTGAGTACATAATTTTTAAGATGGAAATTAGTCTCATCGTTCATGATAATTTTCGATAAAAATCGTTCTTTACATTGAAAGCCAGGGTTCAATTCTTGTGGAGTAAACCCATTCATTGGTTGTCGATTTCTATTCTTTGTCTGCTTACTTCACAAATGTCAAACTCGAATTAACATTTGGTGCCGTTTGGTTTAATTATTGTGTTCTCCAATGTGGTGCCTGCTTTGGCCCTCTTTGTAGATATATTGTACCTGTCACATTCAAGAAAGGGCTTGGCAGATATAGAGTTGTGTAAGTTATTAAAATGTTCAATAGAATTTTAATAAGAATGGGAGCACTATTAACAAAGTAAAATCTTTAAAATATGATATGTTGATCAATCATATTCTTACTGTTCAGCTAATGTATACTCTTGCTAAACTGAAAGCGGAGAATTGCATAGCTGCAGCTTTCGAAAAGAGAGCCTGTAAAGTATCCGTTTTTTGTCTGTTTACCCAATGGCATGGAATTGTACAGCGAAAGTGTCTGATAACGCGGCTAAATTGCTAATTACCAATTTGAATTAGAGATTAAATTAGATAACTCCTTCCGATGATAAATACTTAATTGTTACTTGCTTTTGTTATTTCACGAATGGACGCCTTTATACGGAAGATCGAGTTAACTCGTAGTTGTTATCATGAAAAGAGATATACATATGTATCTTTCCGTTTAGTAAGCTTATTTACATATGTATATGCATAATTACAAATACAATGCAATGTTATAATAGGGTATGGAAATAAACACTTCCTGCAGCACGTATAGAAAATTGTTGGTCTGAAGCTTACTAATTTAAGAATGTACGCGGTTGTATTATCGATCGACATTAGTTTCGCCATTATGTAAATCACATATGTTTCCAATAATGTATATTATAGTATTATATATCTGTCTATTTTATTATAATATGTATCTATTATATATAGTTTTTATTATTTATTTTATTTTTATAAAATTGTGTATATATGTACGTATGTCACATAAAGAACGAAAGTGCTAAACAATCGGTTATATAGGGTTGCAAAACTTGTTATTTTTGAAAATCTAGCAAATTACATTAAGAACAAAGATAAATAATATACGTAAACTGTAACATCTTATTGAAACAGATATATCCAACCATAAACCATTATAGTATGATATCTCATGTGGGATATGGGATATAAGAGTCTTTTCCCTGTTCTATTCCATTGTTTTAAAAAATTGGCTTGCTTATGAAATGTTGGTTCGATTAAATTTCTAAAAAAAATCGATAACTAAAGTGTTTCACGAACTAAATGGAATGGGAGCGTCACAACTTGCATATGTATAATATATGTACGGGCATTACACTTACTATTTGTTGTGACAGTGATTAAACTAAAATAACATATGAGAATGCTCATCTTATAACGCTTGAATCTTACACCTGTAATTATTATATATGTTTTCATTGTATAATTAAATGGTTCAATCAGTAAATCTGGAACATTTTAAATAAATTTACTTTATGAAAAACGTTTGCTGCAAGTTCGACAGAAGTGAAGTAAAGTGTAGATCTTAACATTCCCTTGTGAGCTAAATATATTGAGTATGTTTAGCATTAGTGAACTGTGTTGCATGTTCTGCTGCCCACCGTGTCCTGGACCAATAGCTGCTAAACTAGCTTTTCAGCCGCCTGAGCCAACATACAAATTAACTGCTGCCGATGACACGAATATTAAATACAATTTGCAGCTATATGATCGTGCGGAGTGGCAGTACTCGGAACGTGAAAAATCGAAAATTGAGGCATTTTTTACCCGTACATCGCGTGGCAATTTGATCACTTGCACATATATTCGTTGCAGCAAAAATGCAAAATACACACTACTCTTTTCCCATGGAAATGCAGTTGATTTAGGACAAATGAGTAGCTTTTATCTGACCCTTGGATCTCAAATCAATTGTAATATATTTGGCTATGATTATTCGGGATATGGGATGAGTGGTGGAAAACCTTCTGAAAAAAACTTATACGCAGATATTGAAGCTGCTTGGCAAGCAATGCGTACCAGGTAACAGATATGCAAATTAAGTTTAAATGTGTAGATATATTAAATCCATTTGTTTCAAAGGTTAAATATTAGTCCAGAAACTATAATTTTATATGGCCAGAGTATAGGAACAGTTCCAACTGTTGATTTAGCATCACGTTACGAAGTTGGTGCTGTTATACTGCATTCACCGTTGATGTCGGGCCTAAGAGTTGTTTTTAGGAACACAAAGAGAACTTGGTTTTTCGATGCTTTTCCGAGGTAAATACAAAAAAAATATTATTTGCAAATAAACTAAGTTGATTATTTTATGATAAAACAGTATTGATAAAGTCGCTAAAGTAAAATCACCAGTTTTGGTTATTCATGGAACTGACGACGAGGTCATCGACTTTTCCCATGGAATTGGTATTTATGAGCGTTGTCCTAAAACTGTGGAGCCGTTTTGGGTAGAGGTAAAATTAAATAATATATATATATTTTCTAGCTTAAGCTTGTTTTAAAAATTAAAAATACTCATTTTACATTAGTCATAAATAAAAAAGTAAGAATGCTCTAGTCAAGATTTTAATATGGCTTTCTTTCAAATCCTATTGAAAGTTATATTGAATAATTTCAACTTTCAGAAGATGGATATAAAATTCGATTAATTTATGCCAAAATTCGAAACTTGGGAAACTGTCCAGCTTTGTGGCTTTATACCATATTAATTGACTGTGCTCATTCATTCATTAGTTTAAAAATTGCGATATTGTGTGTAATTTTAAACGCAGCCGTATGAGAATAAATTTAATTTTATTCTAACTGTATTATTTTTTTTCAGGGAGCGGGTCATAATGATGTCGAACTGCACCCGCAATATTACGAACGATTGAGGAAGTTTCTTTCTGTGGAATTAATTAAATGACAATTAAAGATAAATGTCGATGGAAGTATTTGTAATAATACTTCTGAAGGAGCAACTAATTCGAATCCTATGGCAGCAAGCTTAAAATTTTGTGAAAAGCCTCAAACGACTCCAGCAGCGACAGAATACGAATCTAATAACAAAAAAAATAGGCATGATGATAATGATGGTTAGTAACAATAATAAAAGCCTTATATTTAATAGGTTTATTAGTTTATTACTCAAGATCCAGATTTTTAAGTATAGCTTTCCGCAAAAATTTTTTCCGATCCATAATATATATTTAACAATAATTTCCTAAATAGTGTATGCTGCTTAACAATAAAAAGAAGTTAACATGTTCCACAAGTATAGCTAGAAAAAATCATGTAAATGATCTTAGCTAATATTACCGATCATAAATATATATATGTTTTAGAGTAGCACATATTACATTTCTTTGAATTCTAAGATATTAATGGGGCTATCTTGCCTTTCTTAAAATTTGTCTAGTGATTATTTTTTGGATGCATTTCCCTATTTATCTTAAAAACACAAACAACATACATATTTAAAGATGGGACAACAAACACCAGAGTTATTCTTTAACACATTTTTCTGGGAAGAAGAAGCGTAAAATAAGCAGCTATCGTAGATTTGTATACGGGGCATGGAAAATTTTTGACTCGAGCTCTCCTGACCTCAATTTTTTAAATTTTGAATAAGTCAAACATCGATAATGTAAATTTCTTTTTGATACCCTCCCTCTAGACTTCGAACTGATTTAAAAGAATATATATATATCAAAAAATAATAAAGATAGATCTTGTGTATATCATTATTTATTCAAAATGAATTTAAGTCACTATTCAACGCATCTATGCTTGTATTTATGTTTATGTATATTAGATATTATATTATTATATGAGCATTATTTTAGTCTAGACTGTTCTTTTTAAGTTGTTTACAATTATCTATAATCTTCAGACATTTGTTTCGACTTCATTAAGCTTATTATCAAATTGTTAAATCTTTCCTGTTCGCTTAAAATAAATATATATTTTTTCATTAAAGATATTTTAGAAACGCTTCATTCTTCCGTTCCCTATCTTTTAATTTATTAAATAATGTAGTTTTTGTTTTGAACAAATCTATATTTCACTTTTATAGTCCCATAGCTTCCATATTTCATTAAATTTAAAAAGGTATTGTTTTTAATTAATTAATTCATACATCAAACAGGTGTCACAGAATCCATTCCACATATCTATATATACAATTTGGAATATATATATATATATATATATATATATATATATATATATATATATACGTATATCAGTATTTTCAGTATATGAACTACATATTCTATTGGAATATTAGTCAGGCGCACTCATTTTACGAAGTTTCCAAATTGTTAGTTGCTTATTTAGTTTAGATTTTCGCTTTACTGCACGATCAGTGAACTGGCGATGTTGGTAAGGGCGACGCACGTCGTCGAGCAGAAGTCAGTCTAATTCCTGAACACATCGGGTTTTCCATTCATACAAATATTATATATTATTAGAAAGTGCGAGTTTCAAAGATGCATGAACTACGTGAGTTTTGTGTATCTCAGCTTAGAAAAAAGTGTATATAAAAACGCAGATCGGTCGCAGTTCAGGGTATCTCCAAGTCCGGCACAAAAAATAATATTACTTTAGATAATAGACTATTAGGACACCCTATTAGCCCATCAACGGAAAAATTAATAACAATTTCTAGCCTTCGAACTTACTTCTTATATACATACGCAAAGACATATCTATTTAATGTAGTTGCATATTTTATACTGTCATATTTGTCCAGTGTAGGGAAAAAATGTTTAGATGTCCGGTCATTATCACCGAGGAAAATAATAATATTTGCAATTATTTTTAGTGTCACTATTTAATTGCATTTTTTAGAGCTCTGCAATAAAATCCATTCCACACATTCTACGTATCCAATTTCCGCATATTGCTTTCTTTTCCCTTTTTTATTTGTAGATATGTCAAATATGAAGAGTAAACAGTGACATGAAATGTGCTAAATTACTTATTCTTTAAATAATCTTAAGTAATTTACAGGCTCATAAGATCCAGTATTAAGATAAGCATTTAACAAAAAATTAACAGTATAGGTGTTTTACAATATTGGTTATAATAATTTTAATTAGAATTAGATGGATTTCGCAATATCTAGGTTAAACTGATTCTACAAACATATATTGAAAATATATTATCGTTTCAGGTCTTTCAGCATCCAATTCGACTACATCAAAACTTGTAGCAGAAAAATTTCTCTAGCAAAAAAAATTGGGCTGCACTTCCGCCTTGGCCCTTAGCATGTGTTCTTCACAACAATCAAATATTACTTTTTCAAAAGAATATGAAAAAATAGATACTAAACAACTTGGAAATAGCTCACTATATGTCATTAAAAATACAGATGATATGATTGTGACTCCATTTAAGCAACTTTATAATCCTGCTCCTACACTTCCAATACACTCTCCACATTCTCCCGGGCATCTAAATTCCTATCCTAATATTCATCAAAGAAAACTTTCCGGTCGGTACATAGATAATAAAATGGTCAATCAAAAGTCTGCTAAAAAACTACTTAGTGCTAAACAAATGACTGAAAACCCGGGTTTTTTCAGTGAAGGAGAAAAATTAACAGCCACAACAACTCGTCCAAGCAAAGTGTGTAGATGTACAAAACCACTAAATCAGCATGATTGTATACGAAATTCTGCAATAAATTCTATTGTTAAGGATGACCAGAAATGCGATTTGGTAAATTCGATGCATGGAAACGTCTCGAATCAAAAAGATAAGAATGTTGATGGAGATGAATTGCACATACGCAAAAATGAAATAAGTGATTTTAAATTTAAAAAAATAAATAAAATTGCGTCAAAGGTAAATCCGCAACCTAGATATTCTCTTGGGGCTCAAGACAACCATAATAGACCTGAATGTATAATTAAAACTAGTAAATCTGAGCAGACATCTCCAAACATTGTCGATTATAAAAGATCAATTTTTGACTATGTTTATAATAAGAGTACAGATTCGTTGCTGCGAGTTTCTAGTATGGACCCATGGATAAAAAAAAATGAGTTGCTGGAGTATGGCGTAAATGAAGTAAAAACAAGTTCAGCAGACCCTTGGATTAAACGTCCAAGTAGTGATCACAAAAAATCACCGTGCTCTAAAGAAAGATTTAAGAATGGGCAATTAATATCGGGTTGTGCAAAATCAGATTTCCTTCTGGAAGCAAAACAAAAATCTTACTTAAAACCAGATATGCCGCAACAAAAAATACTTCGAAATGGTGAATCTATACTGTCAGCACCTCCTTCCCCTAATTCTAAAAATGCATATAATAGTACTATAAATTATTCACAAAGCAAAAGTTTTCCGACAAAATCAGCCAGTTTTTCACCAGCTAGAGGTAAGCCTTTACTTAGTTCATTTGAAGATTCCTTATACGTCAATTTAACATCACTTCAATCAACACCAATAAAATCCAATTATGTTAAAAATCAAAAACAATTAAGATTCACAGAAAATATCACTTCCAATCATTTAAATGTATACACTTCCAATAATTTGCAGTGTAGGCACAGCTTTTCTTCATTATCTAAACCAAAAGATGAACTGCAACTAAATATCCGTCGTCTATCGGAACAAATGAGTCAAATGGACTATGTACAATTTTTATTGACTAATAATAGCAATGTTAATAATAAAGAGTATGATGTGACGAGAACTGTTGTCCAAAATGCACAAACTTACGAATTTCCAATGTCACCTACTGAATTGAATATAACGGATAACATCGGTTTTAAAAAGATATTGAAATTTCAAGAAAATTGTCACACTGCTAAAAACAACCCTAAATTTTCAACAGTTCTAGATAAAACAAAACTGTATATTAGCCAGCAAGAGCCAAATCCAATGCCAGAAACCACCTGTTAAACTATTGTTCGAAATTGGATTCGTAAGATGTGCTTATGTACTTCTGTATGTCTATATATACAAATCAAAATAAGTTAAATTAGAATATATAATACATAAACATAATTTTTATTTAAGCCTGCAAGTTTTACAGTGAAAATGCATTTATATAAAAAATTCGGAGTGCTTCTACATTCCTAATAAAAAAAAACATATTTTAAGTTGTAGGCTTAACAATATTTGCAAATACACAATACTTTTGTTCTTATGTATTATTTTATCATAAGTCTAATTTTTGTAAATCTATTTAATTCATTGTAATAAAGATCTATATAAGCAATTATACATTTCAATATTGCTACGTATTTACTTTCTTAACTGTTTCTACTAAAATATTTTCCGACAATCTGAAAAGATTGTGTCAGTTAATTAATCGTTATTTCAAAAATTTGTAACCTTTATTTCTGAGGACTAGTTGCCTTGTTAGATATATATACACATCGAATTCCGAAGATCACACGGTATACCAATTATATTATACAGTAACAATAAATTCTAATTATATTTGGAAGCAAACAATACTATTCGCTGGCTTCCATTACTGTGAAGCAAGCAGTGTGGCACCATCGCTACTATATTAGTTTGAAAAAAAATAATAATTTAAAATATCACTAGTAAGAAGGATAACACAGTAGTTGGATGAGAAAACGAAAAGAAACCAATTAGATCAGAAGCTTTGCGTATACTTAAATATTTATAGTCAATCGATCTTCAAGGCAATCTAACACTAAATTTCTCAGATACAAAATTTATCCTTTTCATAATTAGTATAGGCCTTTATACATATTACTTTTATTTGGCGCTTGTTGTCTACCACCACCTTCGGTAACAGTTGAAATGCCTTCTCTTGATGTCATAAAACACATATGCAAATAACGTCAATATTAAACAAGTAAGAAAGCTCTAGTTGGGGTGCCCGACTAGGAGATACCCAATCCTATCTTTTAATATTTTTTTAATATTTTCCGTAGTTTGTATCGAGTATGAAAAAAAATAAATAGATAAAAAACGACGTTACGGCACCAAGACTCGAACCGACAGTTATTACGCAAGGCGCACCAACTCTACCAAAAAAATAACATAAATGTCACGAGGCTCGAACCCAGGGTCTAACCGCTTTTGAGCGCCGCCTCCACCAACGCAGCCACCGCACTGCTTGCGTAAAAAACTGCAGATTTGAACTTAAGTAACAGCTAATAATTCAGCACAATTTTCAGCATATGATCTACAACAAAAATCAAAATTGCAGAAAATATACATAAAACTAAATATAAAATTGGAGGCTCTAGCTCTTCAGACGTACGAGATATAATTTATTAACTGCATTTCGATCATGTTTTGATTCGATAACAGTTAAATGGGAATAGGTATAGAATATATGAAACAAACTTGTTATGCGCGTGCTATACGCAGACTTACAAAAAAGTCCATAGCTCTTATAGATGCTGACGCGTTCACACATACGGACAGACAGACAGACGGATAGGGCTCAACATTTCAAATTTCCGTCTTCAGTCTGCAGCCTTCAGTCTGCTCCGTCTCCTTCCTGTGGAAAGTGTTGTACAGAAACGTGCTGAAAATTAAAAATAAGTTATAAATACGCTTACATTTATATATGTGTGCATTTATATATAATGTGGTGTCTACCTATCGAATATCCAGTGATGTGATTGTCCTTTATCTCGAGATCTAAAGCACGTTGATCTCGAGATAATGGACAATCAATTCACTGGATATTCGAAAAGTTAGTTTGTTTAATGGTGGGACTTAATGTACATATTTGTAAGTTTTTGTATGCTCTAAATGCCGCATCTAGTTAGTGACTGTATAAATTTAGGCTTATGTGGCTGCGCTACAATGCTATGGCCGGCAAGTCAACTCGGTATGCTACACATGCAAGGGTTGGGGTTACCGCCGCTGACCGTTACAATCAGAACTAGACAATTTGGTGCTAGTGTAAAAGGTACAACGCTGTGAGAGGAGAACACATTAATGTGAATAATAAAGCTAAACAGAGCCAATCGTTTGCCAATAAATGAATACAATCACATTATTTTGGAACAATTTAATTAAAATGATACTCCCAAATCGCTGGCCTTGAGGCTAAGCATAGGAACATGTGAATTACGGCCTAGTGTCAGGGAAAATATTATTGTAGTTCTATAGAGCGCTTACTCAAGGCTGAATCTAAATCTAAAGGTAAAGCCAGATGCATAAGCAACTTAGTATAAGTAATGACGTGATGTGATGATGTTACAGTCGTTGACCATGGTGGGTGAAGGCACTGATTAGGAAAAATAAGGATCGCCCTCGGTTTAAGTAATGTATCTGGCATGACTTTCGGGACCTTCCTTGAGGCTCGAGCTTTCCTCAGAAGCTAACGAAAGAAGAATGAGCTACTAATGACTACTCTGGCTGTGAACAAAGTCTTGGGCGAAAAGGCGTCACCAGTTTTTGTTTAAACCCAGGACAACATACAAGTTCAACCTGTTTAGTTGTGGCAGGCATTACATCGGATCGTGGCCAGTCTACGTGATGACCCAGTGCTCGAAGTTGGCGAGGTGTCGTATCATTTGTTATAATTTCTGGGCTCTATGACAACATCTAATAATTTGCGTATGTGCGACTAATTTGGACAACTTTGTTGTTTCGTCCAATAAAATACTTGTGTGTATCAACTATTGCGAGTATAAAGGTAATTGAATTGTTGTGTATTTTAATTCCTTTCTTTAATAGTTTGACTCCATTTTTGCTTCTGAAAAAGGTGGTCTTAATTTATCAGCATGTCTTTTATTTTAGTTAGTTAAGCTTTGCTATATCGTTAAACTCATCAGAGCTACCATGTATTACCTTAATATGAATTTTATCTGTGACCGCTGATCGATAATGTCTACTTATTCTTTTATTCTTCCTGATTTTTTCGTGGTCTAGCTTGCCTAAATGGAACTGGTACCCCGTCTTTAAGTCTGGGGTTGTAAAGAGTTTTGAATTTCTTAAATTTACTTGAATCTATGAATCCTTGGCATTGAGCTAAATCGGTAATTTTTTTATACTTGGTTTCCTAAAGTTGATCACCAATTGCTTTTTCATTTGTCAGTCCCTTTTTTTATAAACAACCTAGTTTTCACCAGACATTTAGTGTGAAAAAGAGTTTTAACAATTAATTTCTTTAGCTCCGTGGCGCTCCAATATTTTTTAATATTTTTAATGACCAATACAAATGCCGATGATTTTATTATATCCAGTAGAACGTTAGAGCTAATTTTTGGGTTAACAACTAGTCTTTAATAAACTTCAACTTATAGAATTTCAATGTACAAACCTTTACCCTTTGTCCTCATTTCATTAAGTTGAAGTTTTTTATACGCATTAACTGTCGTCACCAATGTGAACTTCTATCTTCTGGTATATAATCTTAAGCTAACTATTTAAATAAGGGTTTGAATCCTTTGGTGTTGTTTAGTAGCCCCGCCGGGGATGTTGATGACCTGTTGTTGTTTTCTTTGGCAGTTGATTAGTGTGGAAAGTTCTTACTCCCTTGTGGCTCAGCAATATGTAATTCATAAGACTATGCATTTTTGCCGAATGCCGGGGCACATATCATTTATCGTAGTTCAATAAAGTTATTATACAACATTGAATCTATATAATAACTATATAAGCTAAATCTAAACCTAGCAGCATAAGTTACAAAGTCGTTTCCTGCAAGCAGACTCAGTATAAGTGTTGTTTTTTATACTTGGGACATTGGACATTGTATCTGAGGGCATTTATCTAAGAGTTTGATGTGTTTATATATATAAATCATCATCAATATTGAGACAGTTACTTCTCTTAAAATTCAATTTTAGATGTTGCGACTATTGTCGGGCCCACCAGTAAGAAGCTCGTTAAGGTTAAAAATAAATAAGGTTAAAAATTGAAATGTTGAATATCATCATATGTAACGTAATGTGGAGTATACAGTTATGGAAATAAGAACTCTGAATGTAATGGAATGGAATGAAAAAACTTTGTTGAAACCGATAAGTCGGGGATGCATTAGCACAATGCTTAGAAGTGGAAACTTGAAAGCATATCGATACTATCGTTAGACCTTCAGTTTTTAACTCTGAATATTTTTCCGGTTTTCAATATATAACAGGTCTTCACTAACAACTCACTTATTTGGGATACTAAGTTCGCAGGTTCTGGTTGATCGACATAATAATATCAAGAATGGGAGTACCAGCTTTTTTTCGCTGGCTAAGCAAAAAATATCCATGTGTTATTATAGAATGTAATGAAAATAAGGTAAGTATGTTTTTTTGGGTATGTTTTGAATCCGTATTTATAAACAAATTTAGCAAACAGATGCGGAAACGGGCAAGACTATTTACGAGGATTCTACTTTACCTAATCCAAATGGCGTGGAGTTTGATAATTTATACCTAGATATGAATGGCATAATACATCCTTGCACGCACCCTGAAGACAAGCCAGCTCCTAAAAATGAAGAAGAAATGATGGTGGCTATATTTGAATGCATTGACCGACTTTTTGGTATTGTACGACCAAGAAAATTATTATATATGGCCATCGATGGAGTAGCACCCAGAGCTAAAATGAATCAACAGAGATCCCGAAGATTTCGAGCTGCAAAAGAAACCATTGAAAAGCGAATAGAAATTGAACGCATTCGAAATGAACTGTTGACACGAGGTAAGAATATTGTATGCACTGGCATACATACATACATAGATTGATGCACACATGTATGTAGATAAATAAATTGATGTACACATACATATGTACATAAATAAATGAATGCACACATACATACGTATATACATACTCACATACATAAATACACATACATAAATACACATACATACGTACACATATATACATACACATACATACACATAAATACTAACATACATACATACACATACATACACAACATACATACATACACATACATACATACATACACATACATACATACATACACATACATACATACATACATATACATACGACTTTAATGAAATTTTCCGCATATCTTCAAATTCAAAAGGAGTAGTGATTGTATGGTCGTGTATGGTGTATGGTAGCTGTTGGGTGGCGTCCGAAATTTACAAATTATTGATACATATTAAATACATGTATTTTAAAAAATTTTGAAATTTTCGTAAATTATATCTCGAAATTTGGTTATAAAAAATTTTCCAGTTAAAGCAAGTAGAGCAGGCTTTCAATTGGGATTAATTGTCAACTGCTATGTAAGTTTGGATTGAAGTAAAGTGGTGTTGTATGACGTCCATATGCGCGTGGTATATATTCTAGATCAGGGCGATGAGCTCAGTCGATCGAACCATATCAGTCTGTTTATCTTTCCGTCCGTATGAGCACAGCAATCTCGCATATGCTCTTGAGTACCATACGCAGTACAAATTTATTTTTTCCGTAACTCGTATATTGTTTTATTTTGCCGATAAAAATCGATAACATTTTCGTTTTTAAAGCGTAGCTTGAATGTTGTAATTAATATTTCACATATACAATACTAATTAAAACAAATTTTTTGGCTTTTAGGCTGCAAACTTCCGCCGGAAAAAGAAAAAGGCGAGCACTTTGACTCAAACTGCATAACTCCAGGAACACCTTTTATGGATCGATTAAGTAAATGCTTACACTATTATATACATCATCGACTGAATAACAATCCAGCATGGAAAGGAATACAAGTTATTTTATCCGACGCAAACGTTCCCGGCGAAGGAGAACACAAAATTATGGACTATATTCGGAAGCAACGTGCACAGCCTGATCATGATCCGAATACCCATCATGTTCTTTGTGGAGCTGATGCAGATCTTATAATGCTAGGGCTCGCAACACACGAGCCAAACTTTACTATAATTCGCGAGGAATTTCTTCCAAATAAGCCACGACCTTGTGACATTTGTAATCAATTTGGCCACGAAATGGACAAATGTGTTGGCCTGAATGCAGTTAGCTCAACTAATAGCAACTTTGCACCAGATATTCCCATTGGAGCAGAAGTGAAATTTATATTTGTTCGATTAAGTGTGCTAAGAGAATATCTTAAAAAAACATTGCAAATGCCCAATTTGCCATTCAGTTATGATTTTGAGAGAGTGCTAGATGACTGGGTGTTCATGTGTTTTTTTGTTGGAAATGATTTTCTACCTCATTTACCAAGCTTAGAAATTCGTGAAGGAGCAGTTGATCGACTGGTTGAGTTGTATAAAAAATGTGTTTATAAGACTAAAGGATATTTGACGGATTCAGGTGAAGTTAATTTGGATAGAGTTCAATTAATCATGACAGACTTAGGAAATGTTGAGGATCAAATATTCAAGGATAGACAACGCAGAGAGTTGCAATACAAGGCCAGGCAGAAAAGGGAGAATAATAACTTTAAACAGTTGGAACAATCTGTCTTTGGACCGTCGGCTGTTGGACCAAGCGCTAAAGCTCAAATTATCACAAACTATAAACAGGAAGCTGCTTCTGTAAGAATGGGGTCAAAGCGTTCTAGTACAGCAGCAAATTTAGATGATGATGAAGAAAACAATGATGAAGTGCGATTATGGGAAGATGGCTTTAAAGACAGATATTACGAGTCCAAATTTGATGTATCGCCTGATAATCTTCAATTTCGTTATGCTGTTGCACTGCAATACGTTAGGGGACTTTGTTGGGTTTTAAAATATTATTATCAAGGCTGTGCTTCCTGGAATTGGTATTTTCCTTACCATTATGCTCCATTCGCTTCGGATTTTGTAAATATACAAGGACTATCCACTATATTCGAAAAGGGAACAAAGCCGGTAAGTCCAATAAATTTAAGAAAAGTGAAAAGTTAATTTTTACAATGACTTTTACATAGCTTCTTGGCTCAACTGAATATATTTGAATACTAAAACTATTTAAAGAAATTAGAAAATGCTAAATTTCGAGGAGCTGGTTAAGTCAAATAATAAAAGGCACTATTCTTTTCAATATTTAACATTTAGTGTGTCCTATATTCCCAATAATATCAAGTTATAAAATTAACGTATAGGTTTTTTTCATGTTTGTTGAATATCGCTTTACATACAGTTATTTCCCTAATACACGGATTTATTAAACTGATATATAATTTTCTATATTTTAGTTTAATCCCTTGGAACAGCTTATGGGTGTTTTTCCAGCGGCCAGCAGTTCCCATGTTCCAGAACCGTGGGCAGAGCTAATGTCTAGACCTGTAAGTAATAATCTTATTTGCAACACTATATCATAATAAAATAGTAAAAAAGCTCTAGTCGCCGCTTCTATTAAGGCCGCCACAGCACTACTTGTCCAAGAGATTGCAAATCTCAAGTTAAGTTAACAATTCAAGTACAACTCAATCGCAATTTCATATTCTATTGGTTTGGTAGAAATCCAATCATCTTCACTTTTTGACCCTATTTCCAACTGAACTTAAATTTTAAGAATTTGGAAATTGCCAAAATCCAACAAAAAACAAAATCGCATAAAATATACATAAAACCAAATACAAATTTTGGAGGCTTTAGCTCGTAAGACGTACGAAATATAATTTATTAACTGAATTTAGATCATGTTTCTATTCGATAACAATAAAACTTGAATAGTTATCGAATATTTGAAACAAACTTGATATGCGGTGTTATACACGGATATACAAAAAAGTATGTAGCTCTTATAGATGCAGAGATCGACGCGTTCACGCATTCCGACAGACGGGCGGACGGACAGACAGACAGACGGATAGGGCTCAATCGACTTGACTTGTCGTCCTGATCAAGAATATATGTTCTTTATGGGGTCTGCCATGCCTCCTTCTGCCTGTTACATTTTCACAAAACTATTATACCCTGATTTCCCATCTTCAATGAGATCAGGGTATAAATAGTCAGGACATGAATTAACCGTGTAATTAGTAATTTCAGGATATTTTAACGTTCATTCATTTTTATATCTTGAACTCATTGAAAATGGGAAATCAGGGTATAATGGTTTTGTTTAATAAAACGTGTTGCCAATTTGCAAAAGCACGTGGCAAGCAGTGAAAATTGCTATTGAATTGTGCTTGAATTGTCAGCTGGCTACTTTAGTTAAGATTTGCAACGTCTTCTGCGGTACAGTGGCGGTGTTGTTAAGAAGTTCTAGGTTCAATGCCAGGTGGCGAAGGGACTTTTTTTTCTTTCATTTTTTTTTTAATTATTAATTGGGTATGTTGGTAGAGTTCCCCATTACGTAGACGATGTTGGGTTTCGTAACGTCGATTTTTATATATTTTTTTTAATGCTCAATACAAACTATGGAAATTATCAAGTTAGGACTGGGATGAGGGTATCTCCTAGTCGGGACTCCCCGACTACGGCGTTCTTGTTTTTATTGTATTGGACGCACAGCAAACCTTCTTTGGGGTATTTTATACTGATTCGAAACGCTGGTCAGTTTGTGTTTTCTTGACCATGACGTTTTATTATTCAATTTAAATTAAGTTGCTGATGTCTAATGCAGGTAAATTTTTTTTGCATTTCGATAGTTCCGCTTATCTAAACTTGATGATTTTTGCTTATAATAAATTTAAAATTTATGTTATAATAACCATAATTTAATATTTATTTCATTTACATTCCAGGACTCAACAATTATTGACTTTTATCCCGAGGATTTTAAAATCGATCTGAATGGAAAAAAGTTTGCGTGGCAAGGAGTAGCTTTACTACCATTTGTTGATGAGAACAGGCTATTTAAAGCACTTATACCTCTTCATAGCCATTTAACTGACGAAGAAAGTAAGTTTTTGCTATAGCCTGAAAGCATACAAAATAGACTGACAAGGTATAATGGATCATGCAGTTTAATGTAAATTAATGTATACGGCCAATTATTATGGACTGCATCTGTCACTTTTTTATAACTACAAGTGGGTGTATAATCACGAATTTAATTGATTCTTCTGTTTATTTTGTTTTCATTTTGAAATAAACTAATAAATTGTTGTGGTTTTCATATAATATAATATATTTATGTATTTATTTTCAGTCAAGCGTAATAAAAGAGGAGAAAATAATTTATACATTAGTAAATTCAGTCCACATTATGAAACGGTTCAGAAACTGTATAAAAAAGGCGAAAAATCCCAATTTAACTGTTCTATATCATTTAATGGAATGTGCGGAACTATATCTATATCTGAGATAAATACAGCTTTAAACGGGTAAGTATACACACATATACAATACAAATATATATATATATATATACAAATACATAAATGGCGCTGAAACAAGCATGCTGTGATGGAAATAATTCCTTAAATATTTCTGGAAAACTAACATTTTGTAAAAAACTATATTAAATTGAACCCAGTTAAAATGGGAACGCAGGGTGTTATGCTTTTGTTAAAGTGTATGTAAATTGTGTATGTTATTGATCAGGCCGCCGAACTGACTCGATCAGCCATATCCATGTGTTCATCTGAACGTATCGATTTCGTAAATCACAAAAGCTTGATATGATATATGTATATTCGTGTATACTATACTAACTATAAATTTATAAATTTCTATCTTATTTCCTTATCATAATATCTTAAGCGTAGTTTGGCAGACTAAGCGCTGTCACTATATGCACTATATATATATATATATATATATATATATATATATATATATATATATATATATATATATATATATCTTTAAATCTAAAAACTACGCGTACGCGTAGCTTGAAGACCAACGCGTAAAAACACGTCAAATTATCGATTTTTATCTATTAATATCTTTTAATTTAGTTTTGTGAAATCTCCAATTCCTGGTTTACCCGATATAATTAAAAATGAAGTTACAACTACTGTGTACAAGGATCCGGAATATGATGAGAACTTTACATTTTTAGCAAGAAGGCTTCCAAACGCTGTGGACCCTCCTCAAGTCATACAATCGGATAATAACACAAATGGACCTATCATAGGTAACGCCCATATGAATACTTCATTTGTATTTAATTTAAAACTGATTTTCTATTTACGATCGATAATCTTTTTACATCTGTATGTAATTATGTTATGTATGTCCCACTGTCCGTATATTCGCAATCCATTTTGCAGTTATAGAAGCTAGAGGCTGGAAATTTTGAATATTTACTCGTGGGTAATGCTATTTGTTATAAAAGAAACGATATATAAAGTGCTAGTATTGAAATTAGTCTGTTGACAACCCTCAAACAAACCTCAAGTTTGGTTAATGAGTTACTGTAAACTGTTTACTAAAGATTGACGAAAGTCAAATCCTGTTTTATTTTGAACACCATTGGTGCTAGACATGAAGTTTTGAGTATTTATTTTTTTCGTAACTTTTATTTTAAATTAAATTTTCACCTTGTCTCTTCGTATTGCTTTCATCCTTTGTATACTTTCCGAAGGCATCCTCAGTCATTTTTAATTATATTAAGGTCTTCCGAATATGTTTTCACTCGCAACAAATGTTATTATACCTTGATCCCATTGAAAATGGGAAATCAGGGTATATCTCGAACGTCTTAAGAGCTAAAGCCAAATTTTGTATTTCTTTTAATGTATATTTTATGCAATTTTGATTTTTGTTGGCGGTGTTGGTAGAGTTGGTGCACGTTGCGCAAACAATTCGGGTTCGAATCCTGGTATCGTAATGCCGTTTTTTATTTGTTTTCTTTTTTTTAATACTTGATACAAACTACGGAAAATATTAATAAACCCAAATAGGACTGGAATCAGGGTATCTCCTTGTCGGGCACCCCGACTAGAGCTTTCTTACCTGTTATTACTCGAGGGTTATGGATAGGAGAATAATCTTGTTATAAAACTCATGTCAATCGTCCGAAGAGGTGATTTAGCTTTGGAAATACGGACGACACTCTTCAACAGCTTCTGATATTTTAAAATTAAATCTATTGTTTTCACCTAGTTGCTTCTATGGGCTCTTGACCAGCTGTAGACTTGTACAATAATATTTATCGTTAACTTAAATATACGTATTATTTTTGTGAAGTCAGTTGAGGTCAAAACTAACAAAAAAAAAATTTTTATAATTTATATATATATATATTTTTTTTGCTTGTTTTCAATTGTTTATTTATATATATAGGTTGACCAATTTCGATAATTTATTAAACATTTATGAAGTATAAAAAGGAAGACGCTAACCGTGCCGAGCAATGTATATATAAATATCTTATATTTTACCTATTTTATACTTTAGGTTTTGAAAAACATGCGCAAAGGGCTTATATTCCCCCTGGCGGACATCGATTAGTATCATCCACTATAAGAAATCAAAGAATCGACAATGGACAAAGCATGTCTTACCAAAGTAATGGAAGAAATTGTGTAAATTATAATTATCCAATGCAAGGTAAGAAAAAGCCAGTAACAGTGATCTTGATCTAATCGTGAGTACACACGTGTTGGTACTTTATAAAATGTTCACAAAATAATAAAATTCAGACTGCAACAAAGTTGGAGTAATGTTCCACTCAAGAAAATCGTGGGGAAGGCTAGGTTAATATTGGAAGTAGATGAATATGTAAAGTAGGTAAATATATAGATTGATCTGATGGAAGCTCAAGCCATCCGGTTACGTAATATTATTGTTAACAAATTTGTTTATTGTCTAGTATAAGACAGATTGCGAATAAAAACAGCAGTTAACAAAAAAGAAAAAATATCAGTATCTATTTTGTACTCCGCCGTCACTTTTTATTTAATATATTAATATTAATTTTTGATTGGAATTAATTTCCAACATAAACTTTTCTGAAGTCCGCCAACCACTGGAGGATACACAGGGGACGCAGGAAGAAACTATTAACTTATGTATATTTCTGTGAAATTTGGCAGTAAGGGTATGGAAAATTTGAAATATACAAAATCTGTACCTTCATTTTGTACAACTTTTGTATTATTTAGGCTACGGTTAAATGACGAAATTAATGGGAAATCGGATCAGAAACCCGTATATCTTATGGTAACCCAGTATACACATTTAAAAAATGAAAATCCCTTAATTTTCTGGTTTTTGAGATCACTGAACTTATATGGAAGGATAGACGAATAGATTCATCTCTTTGTCATTATCAAGAGTATATATGCTTTGTTTGTATTCTATAATACATAATGCTCATAGTAAAGAATTTTCCCAACTGCAACTTATAATAGCATAATAGTAATTATGTGAGAATGTTAGTTTAAAATTATAATTTCTTCACTTGTTCAAGTGGATGTAAAAGCCATCGCCGCCTTCCTTTGACAATAAATATTTAATTAACCAAGTTGCATTCATTCCCAGCGATTTCGCGGCAATTGAGAAACTCGTTATCCGAACACACGTCGATTAGTGTAGCGGCCGAACGTAGTGTATGAGTAAGCTCATATGTGGATACTTATGTATTCTGTGTGAGAGTGGGCTTAACTTTAGCTGACACGTGTTTTCCTCCCATGTACCATAAGGCGCAAGATTTTAAGCAAATGATTGTGTTTTTCAAAACATTAAATACGATGTTTTATTTTATTTAGTTCATATTTAATATAAATAATTTGATATATTTTCAGTTGATATACTAAATATTAAGTAGATATTTAGTATAAATGTATATATCTCATTTAAGTATCTTGATATTTATTATATATATTGTAAATATATATAAGTGTTTCATGAATTCAATGTGAGAATATAAACATGCCTAGAATTCAACAAATTATATTTATAAAAATTTAAGCTTCTAATAGGTTTCAGGAACAACGAAAGCATGCTTAATAGGTCAAATGTTAAATATTTATCGAATTCACATTTACGGGTTTTCCTGTGGATGATTTCAATTTCAATCAGACTGTATAAGGTCAACATTTTACGAATTCTTTGGAGATGCAGCTGGCGTCGAAGAGTCGACTAACCACCATTTTTCAAGCACTGTCTCATATATGTAATATTAGGCTTGAGTGTAATGAGTCAGCAAAATCTAGTTAATATATCAAGTTTATTGCAAATAATCGATAACTATAGCTGGCAGAACTGCAGTTGGAGGCTACAGCCTCCAAATAGTATTTAGTTTAAAGTATATTTTTTAAAATTATGATTCTTATATTTTGGATACCGACTCGAAATGTTCCCAATAACTACTCCCATAGAATATAAAGATATGTTGAAAATTTCATTAAAATCTATTAAAGAAAACGAAAGTTGTGAAACAAAACGTTTGGCCAATTGGCAAAAGCAAGTAGCAAGCAGCGCCTCTTATGTACTGTAATGGCGGTTTAGTAGGCGCGAGACTCGTTGCCAAGACCTTCTGGGTTCCATGCGAGGTGGCGCAGGGACGTTTTTCTTTTTTTTAAATTATGATGCACGTTGCTTAGGCAATATTGGTTCGAATCTTAGTGTCGTAATGTCAGTTTTTATGTGTTTTTTTAATACTCGATACAAGTTATTGAAAATATGAACAAACGCAATTAGCACTGGGACCATGGAATTTCCTAGTCGGGCACCCCGTCTAGAGCTTTCTTACTTGTTATAATAAGTTTTGCGGCTTAACCAATTTTAATATTTTTATTTTTGTATATTGCAGGTTATAATACAAATCAGCAGAGATCATACGAACAAAGGTATAACGATTCGAATTATCAACATCGTTATAATAATAACAATAATGGATCAAGGCATCCTTATAACCGACCACCGCATAGAGGAAATCATCAACAGCACTCAAATTATAGACGATTCTAATTTTACTTTAAGTTTTCAATCGTTTTAATATTTAAAAAAAAATATGTATGAATGTGCAGCTTGTCCACATGTATTTGTTTAATAGAGCCACCAAAAGTTTGTTCTAATGAAATAATATTCACGTTGAAATTTGCCTTTCAAACATATGTAATAAACTTGCTAAGGAATAAAAAGTAAATAAAGTAAATTCTTATACACATTGAAACGTTTTATATCTCTTATTTCCTCTTAAAATATCTATGTATCTGCTCTGTGTATATATGCTCTAGAAGTGAAATAGTATGGCCTAATAATCTATTTATGTGAAAGAAATAAAAAAAATAAAGAATGTCACAATAGGGGCATAGTCAACGAAGAAATCATATTGAGCCAAAGTTAATTGATTCTGTTTTGTGCTTATTTCCACATGGTAAAAACAAATTTATAGCCTGTTGAATTGGTCACTGTACTATTCTCCAACAGTATAACATACTTTTAGCTGTTCTTACTTGTTTAAGCTATGTTGATGTATGTAAATAGAAATCTCTTCCAACTTTTTATAAGGACTAAAAAATTGAGTAAAGAAAAAAAGTCATAAGCAGCACTCAGGGCACTACGAGATTCCCAAATATTTTAGAGTTTCTCTATCCAGCGACCACCAACATACTCGTATCTTGAATCATTAAAATATATTACTGCTTGTTGAGAAATATCGTATTGCACGTCTTACTTCTCACTTGACGTAATCTTAATCAAAACAAGTAAGCCAATCGGGGTGCCCGACTAGCAGATATTCTGATCCCAGTCCTATCTGCGTGTCTTAATATTTTCTTATATCTCAAGTTAAGTTAACGATTTAAGCACAATTCAATCGCAATTTCGATTCTTGGAATGGAAAAGAATACACGCATATGAATGCATGTGTGCACATGTGCTTTTGCAAATTGGCTAAACGATTTGTTTAATAACTTCCGTTTTACTTCACATATTGACCCTATTTTTAATATAACTTAAATATAAAGAACCCGGCGAAATATGGAGCCGCTATCCAAAATATAACATTAATCAAAATTGTATAAAATTTTCAATCAGCCATATACAACATTTGGAAGCTCTAGTTCTTAAAGCGTAAGAGCTATAATTTAGTAACAGCATTTCGATTATGTTCTTAATTGATAACAATAAAGTCTAGACAGACAGACGGACAGGGCCAAATCGATTCAGCTTGTCGTCTTGATCAAGAATATATATACTTTATGCAGTCTGTCACGCCTCCATCTGTCTGTTACATAAATTTTAACAAAAACAATTTATCCTGATTTATCATTTTTAATGGGTTCATGGTATAGCAATATACTATCGCCACCCCACTGGACAAATTTAAAACGCGGAATTTAATACGGATAGAAAAAAAGGATACAGCACAAAAAAAGGTAAGCTTACTTTAAGTAGTCCGATGAGTATGTCAAATGCAGGCAATTATCGCAAAAATGGAAATTAAGTTTATGTTATTAGTTATAAAGTCCGATTGGATCAATTTATCTCATTTTAATAGTTTTCCTACTTTACCTTTTGCAAACATGTTAGTTGGGCTGTTTGCCCTATTGAACCTTATGAATAAACCCATACAAAATTGAAATATATACTGTGGGTAGCTTCGTCAGATAAAGCGTTAAGATTTCTCTAATACGCCCCTAGTGACATAGCAACTCTTGAAATACTATATCTGATATGAGAAACGCTATTAGTTAAGGAGCACATCTGTTGTAGGTTTTGAGTTGGGTACCTTTAGATCGTGAAAGCGTATTATCCAATGGGTACCGCACGATTGCTTAATTCTTACTTGTTATACCCCGAATTCATTAAAAACAAGTAAGAATGCTCTAGTCGGGGTGCTCGCTAATAGATAGTCTGATCCCAGTCCTATCTGCGTTTTTAAATATTTTTCGTAGTTTGTATCGAGTATTATAAAAAAACAAAAACTGAAATTACCATACCAACTCTACCAACACCGCCACTTCATATCCAAAATCCAACAAAAATCAAAATTGCAAAAAATATACATAAAACTAAATGCAAAATGTTGAACTGCATTTCAATGATGTTTTTATTCGATAACAATTAAATACGTTAGTTATCGAATATTTGAAACAAATTCGAAGGACAGGCACAGGACAAACAGACAGAAGGACAGGGCTCAATCGACTCGGCTTGTCGACCTGATCAAGAATATATATACGCCTCCTTCTGCCTGTTACATACATTTGCACAAAACCATTATACCCTGATTTCCCATTTTCAATTGGATAAAGGTATAATGAGATATCAGACAGTAATGGGTTTGTTAAAAGTGAATGCAACAGGCAGCGTAAGGCAGGCAGACCTTATAAAGTAATATATTCTTGATTTTTCATATTTTGGATTTTGGATAACTGTATCCTTTCCTCTATATTAACAAAATCGTATATAAGACTTGTGAAAATATGAATGTCATTATCATATTCTGAAACTTTTTCAGCAATTAACTTCCATAGTAAAGCCCATGCTATAGCGCTGAGTTCAGGGTATATCCAAGTCGAGTAGTCTAAAGTACTCTTAGTTGGTTGTTTTTTAATTTATGGATTGGATAATGTATTATTAATATTCTAATAACCGCTTTCCACAATCTTACGCTCTCGTTCTTAAAATGTGAGAGCTTTACTCAAAGAATATTAGTTTGATTACAATTTTTATTGACATACTGAATGAAGAAATGTCAAAAAATTGATATCTATAAATGTACATACAGCAGCAAATATATAAATTAAGTACAGATGAATTGCCAATATCACGTTTAAAAATTGATTAAGCCAAAATAATAAGCTCGTATCCTCTAAGCCTTAGTTGAATTGAACAGTATCAAGGAAGAGGGTAGTACTAAGAAATATTTATATTTTTAAAATTTTCAGCGTTTATATAACTGCTCCCACACATATGTTTGAATAAATATGCGTCAACAATTAACATACTTACTTACTTACTAATAACATACTTATATACCATATTTGTGTTAGCCCATGCATTGTTGAATACATGCGCAAAGAAAACATTACTTATGATCATCTCAATTTTTATATTGCTTATAAAAATTATAAAATTTATTTACAACGCAAATGCAACATGACGACCGTTAAACATTTTTAGAAGTTGAAGAGAAAAGAATTACATGACGTAAACCAAAAAATAAATGGTCAGTAAGTCTTCTTTGCCCGATTCAGATCGGATGCTCAAGGCAGTCACACTTAACCTTTCGACTGTAAACTTCAGTTATTAATCTGTGAAAAATACTCGATTTTGTAGAATCAGCATATAATAATACGTATGGGAAATATTTATCAACAAATGGTCTGAAAGCCAATATGCCTTTATTGTTAATATAATGTAATTTGCAGTTAATATAATGTAGACAACTTATTATAAAAGTATTATCACAAAACAAGCTTAATGCATTATGTTGGCAATTTACTAGCTAATTTCTTCTATTCATATAATATACATACATTTTTTATAGTTGTGCAGCCGACTTATTAATAAATGACCGAGGGTATCAGAAAAATTTTCATGTTATACTGATTAAATTTATTTTATTGATAAATAAAATCATCATAAAATCATAAATAAAATCATATAAGTGACTCCGGTGTTAAAGGGAGCCTAAATACTGTTGGCTGCGGCTAGTATAATTAAGTCTGCCAGGGTATTTAATATTTAACACTTTTTTCTTGGGCTTATTAAGAATATTAATTATTAATATTAAATTAAATAATAAACGAAATAATATTAATACACTGGTAAAGGTCCATATAAATGGTATCGAAGTTCATATACTGCTTTTTGCTTATAATTATAGAAATCATTTATTGTATGTTGTTGGTTATAAAATGGATATGATAATGTTGGCATATATAGGCTTTCTTGTAGTGTCATAAATTGATTAAGATTTAGTAGAAGTAACTGTTCTGCACCGCTATCATCTGTGTGGAGCTTATCGTATCCTTGAGTTGGAGCAACTGATTGATCCAATCTTTTTTCATAGTTAGTTCTTATGTCTGGAGCAATAAGACTGTCAATGGTGAATGCTCGCTTGGGGCGTGTTAGAATAGTTTCCACGCGCAAACTTTCAATTTCATTTGCCTTTGATGAATCTAAAATTGATTGTGATCCATCTGCTTTTTTAGTTTTGAAATTGTTGTTTTCGGTTGATGCTTTATTAATAATCCAAGGCTCATTAGCTTGTCCTTCGTATTTTCGATATGTAGTTATTGATGTCAGCTTTGAGTTAAATAAATCTTTTTCTAGTTGCTTCAGTCGAAATCGTTTGCGTCGTCTCAGCAAGCTGCCGTTTTCAAACATGTTAATCGCTTTTGGATGGAGAGTCCAGTAAGAGCCTTTTCCGGCTTTGGTTATGTTACGTGGCACTTTTATAAAACAATCGTTAAAACTTAAATTATGCCGCAAAGAATTTTGCCATTTTTGCATGTTATTTCGGTAATACGGAAATTGTTCCATAATAAAGCGATAGATATCACTAAGAGGCAACATTTTTTGCGGAGAATGCATAATGGCCATGGCAGTCAAAGATATATATGAATACGGAGGTTTCTGGTCGCCATAAGTTACTTTCAATGGACGTGGCATTCCGACGGTGTTTTATATTTGTGTTCACTTTATTTTCACTAATAATTAACGATGTTCTCTCGACGGACTCGACTTTTCAACTGACAAGACTGTATTCGAAATACAATACAAATGCTGGTCCTCAGACACCATATACCTAATTTGGTGTTTCGCTGTTGTGTGAGCTGGAAAGCAAACCTCATGCATTGAAGTATTATTTGTCTCTTTCGTGAGCGTGCTTCGGTTAAATATGACTGAATACTTGCCATCTCGCTCTAAAATTCAGACCAATACGATTATGAGGTGGGATTAAGTGAGTAAGTGTTGTAAGCAGCAATTGTCCAATCGTTACTAATATATAATTCCTGAATAATTTATAAATTTCATCAAATTAAGCCATTTTAAATTAATTTTGTGATTTTATTGTAAGTAACTAAAATTCGTTTGTATATTTTATATAATATATTTTTATTTATATTATAAATATAAGCAACATATTTCCATTTTATAAAAGGGAAATTAGG